ACTGGAGGAAACGAGTGCTCTGAATTGTGAAAATGGGTAAATGAACCATGTGAAGTGGGTTGAGAGAAAGAGATACAGCACTAAAAAGTATAATAAAAGATAGGGGCGAGGAGTGTTGCCACATAGGTTTAACATAAAATTGGTCAAGGGGATTGCATTCACAACTTTCATAAGTTGTACCTCTCTGCTGACGATCGCACCTCTCAAAGACGATGCCGGCGAAACGTTTGGGAATGTATCAAATCAATGCCCTGATGCTGGAAATCACGTATACTAGATTAGGGAACGCAGGACTTGGTACGCTCAACGACGTATTCCCGATGCTCCGACCAAGTTTAGAAAAAGGGGTCAAAAACTAACACCATTAAAGGTATCATTTCAATAGGGAAAAGCAACAGAATTGATAAAATGCACATAGGCTTAAGATGATAAATAAATAGACCGCACATAATGATTTAGAGGGGGAGAAATCAACTAACTAGTTCCACAAGCTGCCAAAGACGTCCAGGAGTTGCCACAATAACGTCTGGACGATGTTTTATAAGACGAATTTGCTTCTCTATTGACAGCCCGCCAACAATCGCTTCGATCCTAATCTGTGGACTGCTTATGTGCTCGGCCACAGCTCGAAGATGCTTGCAAACCTGTAAATAAGAAAACAGCCCACATTGTAAAATATGCACTTCACACTGTATGGATTTTCTTTTCGATACTAAGTAATTCTTGAATAAAAAATAGGTCATCATAGGTTACTTAATAGTTTGAGGATTTATATTTGATTTTTTCCGAAAATGAGATGACTATATCTCACGACGCGTTTAGATTTTGCTTAGCCTTGATTACCAAAAGCTAATCTCATACAAGGTAGACTGCAGTTTCGACGTCTCCAATGCCACATCAGCAGCCCAAGCAGGGTTGAAATTGATGAGTGTACATTTCATTTCGCTTGAAGAGGCGGGTAAACAAGATTAGTAGACTAACTTAACCGAAAGCTGAAGGAGGATTGTCTTCAAATTGTGACTAGATTTGTGAGAATATGTCCTCAGCGCAGCGTCCCGCGGCCTTGGTGAATCCACACCGAGATTTCGCCCCTCAGATTAGGACGTAATAATTAACGATAATTTTTAAAGCAAGATAATTAAGATAGCCGGCTACAATCCTACCTACCTCTTATAATCTGAATTTGTCAACTTAATGAGACATTTAATGCTTTGATTGTCTCTTCTAAGCATTTCCAACATGCTTGCAAATGAGTTTAGCTGAGGATGGCATGGCAGAATTGACCTAACACAGCTTACATAACATACCAAATAGACTGGTCTAAGACTAAACACTTAGCAGGATATGGACAACCAACCAAATCATTATATATCTCATTAAGTGGACAGACAATGAAAAACAGGTAGGATTACAGCCGGCTTAGTCATCGCAGGATAGTGCCAAAAAGTCATGCTCCCAGTGTTGTTAAATGATTTGAGATAACTGCTGTGGTGAGAGATGTTGCCAGACTAACTGTGGAGTAAATGTCGCAACAAGATTATTAACTATAAACTTGTGCATGTCTAGTTGCAAAGGTGTAACAACCCAAGGAAGAGGATAACTGAGATTACGCAAGCCCAAATGCGATTACTAAAATTCCTACCATATTCCTTATATTCGACATATCCCTTTAATCTATTTATTATTATGGTCTTTCTTATCTTGCAATTAGAGGCATACGTAGCATAATCAATTACCCAATCCATTTCAGAAGTTTCTACCTCTTATCCGATTTTCGCTGTTTGATTTAGCATTTCTGACTGTCGGACTCAGCTGTCTTTACACGCATTTTGCGTTAAGCTAACCTTTGAATGATAAGGGGACACGATTAACCAATTTAAGGACGACGAAATTGGCTGAATCTTGTAAAATCCTGAGCTTAAAATGAATCATACCTCTGAATCATATCTCTATCTGAAAAAACTGTCAGGATTTCTTATAAAACTCTTTTTATCTACTCTTCCTCATTCATTTGCCTATTTTCTGAAACAGGAGGCATGAGGCAATCCTGGTACATGGGGAAACACCTCAGTTTACATATCTCCAAACAAATATTCTCCGTTTAAATATTTATTCCTTGTTAAGAAAATATTATTTGCAATTAAGCCTAAAGTACAATCACTGTGCAAAAATAATCGTTTCAATCCAGTTATGCAGTTAAATTATTTATATGAACAAACTTTATATTCTTAATAATCATAAACTTAAAAATTGCAAACATAGTTTTGGAAACATGGTTAGGAATACAGTAGCAACAGAAGAGCTAACAGGTAATGAATACCTACAAAACATCCTCTCTAATTACAAGAACATTCAAAAAGGTAAAACTCTTATGCTCTTCTAATTCCAATGTAAACCTGATAATACCATCACGTTGGTTAGGTGACAGTATAAAACTATCTAGATTTTCCTTACAAAGCTGACAAAAGGCAAAATAGTCATCGGTGCAACTTATAAACAATGTTTAAGTCAGTACCATCTGTCCCATTAAGCGTTTATCAGACTTTACCAGGTAATTATTAGCAAAAATTGAGGTTAAGCAAGATCTCATCGCAAGTCCTTGTGAATCTATAAAAGTTACCGTCAAGCGTGAAACAAGTGCTACTTGGGGATACATTAGTAAATTATAATATGGATGCTAAGCTTAAACATTTTACATCCACCCGAAGTATCCATTCCGGATTAGGAAGTATAGCTCGAATGGTTTCATGAACCTGAATGTTAGTTTATATGAATAGTATATACAAACTTATTAATATCTCTCTCTATCTGAAGTTCTTCGCAGGTACACTAATTTTTCAAATTCATAAATGCTTAATTGAATACAGCTAATATTCAGCCTCATTGTTTTTGTCTTCAATTCTCCAAAGAGATGCTAGGACATCTACAAACTAAAATTTTTCAAAGAAGCCTATTAATTGTTAATAATAAGGAAACTTTAATGCTTAAAATGGACTAAGGAAGAGGTGAATGATCCACTTACAAAAATGTAACGCAACTGGTCAGTTCAATGATGCTTCTAAATAACTTTACATTCGTTCGGCAGTTCCATTAGGGTGTAAGTAGAGTTTCAAGACTACTATTAAATCAGTCATATGAGTTGTGTTCACCCTAGTTCGTTTAAGATGATGAAGGATTGGTAGGATAATTTTCCCACAATGATGAGTAGAGCTGACGTTTCCATTTAATTTCGCATAGCCTTGCTTTCTCAACAGTTGTTTTCATCCCTGCTGGAGTGGACCGGAGTTTCGACAATTGCACCAGAGAATGTGGTATGGGAAAAGGCCTGGCCTTCCTTGAAATTGACACCTGCCCTGTGACCCAAGGGCATTCGTGACAATGTGGTCGAGTAGTTAACGTTTCAAGCTCTCATTCTGAAGTCACGGTTCGGTTGATAAGACCTATGTGGGTCGAAACTGCATTCTATCCTGGATTATAAAAACTTTTGGGAAATCAATGCTATGTGAAATTTAATGGAAACGTCAGCTCTACTCATATCATTGTGGGAAAATTCAACTACCAGTCCTTCTTCACCTATAGTGAATACATCTCATAGTTCATTTAGGCTCATCAAGTCAAACAGGCGTGCTAGATTTATATTTCTTTAATCGTTAAAGCTAGGTGATCCTGGACCGAAAAGTTATGCTTTGTAATTTCGTACTCTGGTATACACGCGTACAGGGTTACAGCCTAAAATTTCAAGCAGGCATTAATTCAGACTTAGGTAATAGCAATCACATTTTTTATGACCCAGGGCTGGGTTTCAGCTCCATTATAATTACTCAGTTACGAGTAGTGTTCCGTAATTTTGATTTAAGGACGTGGAAATGCAATCAAACATGCAAGCAAGCATATACACAAAAAAGTGAATAAGACATCCTATTTATTTTTTTCATTTTTAGTTGAGTATGTTTAACATATAAAGTAAAGCCAGCTATACCCTTTGACTTAGTCTTAGCTTGGAGCTTTTAGAAGAATATGTTTAAGCTCTGAAGATGCCTGTCATGATTATTAGAAACCCAGACTAGCTTCATTCATAAAAGTAGGATGTCATTGATTGCATCAGCGTACGATGAGAATGGAACGTTATTTTATGATTGTCCTTGAATCAATTGATAAAAATAATAGGATATAACTACTAATACATTAGCATTCTTAGAGCACAACAAATACGAATTTCATATAAGTTCACTATATTTAATTTAAAATGGGTTCCATAAAACCACAGCTTTAGCTTGACTAAGTTACAATCCCAGGGGGCCAAATAACCTTACAACAAATTTAATGTAATTACATATCTATCTTATTTGAATATTTATAAAATATGTGAATGAACGTGCCCGTAAAGGTCTTTGGCCTTATGCTCTTCGGGGAAGGCAAGAAGTATTCAACAAGTTTTGAAATTAGGAGGTCAATTTACTAGTGACGAAATTCTATCTTATAGATAAATCAGACTGAAGTAAAACGCGAAAAGATGTTCAAAAAATGACATCTTCTAAAAGGTTGATTTTAAAGCACACAACTAAAGATCGTATTAATAAATTAATCATCTACGCATGACAAGGAATTATATATTGATAGGTAACAAAATAAAATGAGAAGCAGCCCGATGAGTTTAGAAATTAATGATAAACAAGTGCTATAATAAATCATCTTTATTAAATGAAGTTATAATAAATGACTCACTTGGATTGCTAATTCCCTCGTTGGTAAAAGAACAAGTCCATATACACGACCACTTGCATCATTTTTTTCACAATATTTATAATTTATTATATCTTTTTTGGACGATGGTTGAAGAAGGAATTGATCCACTGAGGGCAAGGAGTGTATAGCTCGGGTTGCACCAGTATCAGGATCAAGTTCTTCAATCATATCGAGATCACAAAATAAACGATTCCCTTTGCGTTTTCTTAGATCAGACAGATTATTAAATGGATTATTAATAAGACAGTCTTTGTCGCCACCTTCTGAAGACTTTTTTGATGAGATAGGCCTAATACAATCAGTGGGATTTGACTCGATTTTGCGATCGTCTATTGAATGCTTTAAAAATAAATTTTCATTTTGATTAGCCATAAGATATCCTGGATTAGCGTGTGTTGGTTAAATGCAGGAAAACAGATAAACAATTGAATCCATAAGTGTCATAAAAAACAATAAAAATGGCTATAAGGATCTACCAGTGTTTATATTTTTTTAATGGCACAAAACCGTGTGCACACTGTTAGCGCCACGAAAAACGACAAGTGTTATCGAGGAATATGTAAGATTCTCCAAAAAGAATAGAATAAATTTTACTCGTAATTTGCCTATATATTTCAAATAAATATACAAACAAGCTTTTTAGCCAATATAACATTTTACCACAAATTATTGCAATTTAAGCCATCTTACAGATAAAAATAAACTCCATTTTTGTTTTGTTTTTTTAAGAATTAGATTAACCTTGGAGTCAGTTTCGCGCTTCTTGGCTTCTTTTACACGGATCAAGAGAGGGATTCCGAAGGCAAGTGTTTTACCACTGCCCTAAGATATAAAATCAATGTCCACATTACCGTTGGCGCTGCACCAAGAACATCCAAATGTTTTAATATAGCATCAGGAAGGACACGCTTTTGAATAGGTGTAGGTTCCTTAAAGCCCATAGTTAAAAGAGCATTCATTATATCTTCGGGGAGAGAGAGCCCCAGCCATGCATCCATGATAGATATATATAAATCAGCGTGAGAAGAAATACCCTCGGCGTCGTATAAATGCGTGATTAGGTAAAAGGAGAACGATGTAGATTTTTTCTCTTTAGAATATATAACAAGTCAAAAATTAAAATAATTATTTAAATTATTTTAAAAGAATACATTTAAGGCTTTGTTTGGATTTTTTATAAAATATTTAAAACACCACGTTTGCTTAACAACTTTACAATATAGTCTAAGAGGAATAGAAAAAAAGATATAACTAAATTATAGCGTAACTGGGAAAATAAAATGAGTTAGAGGAACATAAGCAAACAAAGTTATCGTTCTATAATGCCAAACTTAAGTTATTCAAATTTGTCCTTTTGCCAAGAGCGTCATAAAATTGTTTCCAGAATAATAGGCGATACGGTATAAAGAAGTACAATATGAATACCACAAATAATGCAAAAAAATTAAAAGAAAAGGAGATACATGTTTGACAAACATGTAATGTAGAAAGAAGTTATATTGTTTTGAATAAATTAAATAATTAGAAAGTGGAAGAA